ACCCACATCTAAAGCAGAAGTCTGTTTCCTCATATATTATAAAGATTGAAAGGAAAGGAAAATGAGACAATTCCTTTGGGTTTATATATTTAAAATATTTCTCCCACTTCTCACTGTGACTAAATAAGATACCCACCAAAGTGAGGGTTCATTTCTTCGTTCATTTCAGCCTAGTATTTCCTACCCTGGCAAGACTTTGTAACATCTCTAGTGGGAATTTCTTCCCATCCACCGCCCCCCCCCCCCCCCCCCCCCCCCCCCCATTTCTTTCTCAAAAATAATTTGTATCTGTTTGAATATGTGACAATAAGAAATGCAAACTGTTATGCAGATTTTTGAAAATAAGAAAAGGGGTCTCTAGGGACATGAACATGTCTTCAATATTGCTGAAGAATAATTCAAATCTCAGTAAAACTTTGCTCTAATAGCAAGCTCACAAGTGAGGTTTCAGGTCTGATCTGCTAGTCAGGTGAGAGCCTCCCCACTTGGCCAAGAAGTTCTAGAGACTGAACATAAATGACATAACTATTTCCAGCTCTATCACAATCTAATGTTACAAGATATCATGAAAGCAAGAGCACAAAATATTAAGAACCAGAATGATCCTACAGGTAAGAAGATAGAGAAGAAGTGGCTTGAAGGATGACATTTTCTGAAGTCACAACTCAAATTTATTGTACAAATGAAAGGTTAAGGTGTTCTTAAAACTTGTGACTTCCTTTCAGCAGGGTTTTCAAATACTCATCACACACAGGTATTCTGGCTGATCTGCCAGCAGTATGGATGTAATGCCCCAAAAAAGGGCAAAATTTGGACTATCATGAGACATTGACTTCTCTGGAAGACGGGGAGTATCGGTAATAGGAGTAGTGGGGAAAAAAACCACAACACATAAGACAAATGAGGAAACAGAAATGAATCATCTTTGCAGAACTCAAGATTTATCCAGAGGGATGGAGGAAGAAGGGAAAAGGACACAAAAATACAACCACAACAAATACTAAGCTGTAGCTCTGGTCTTAAAAATCTAACAAGGGATGTCTGGGGATTATTTATAGCCTCTGCAGAAGCTATGTCCAAATCTGTCCAGAGCAGTTTTGTGTAAAGAAATTACAATGGCAATAGAAAAGCCACCTCCAAAATCAGAAAGTTTACAGCTTGTTTGGCAGCTCAACATTTTTGCTCCAGTTACTCCCGTGTTCAAAACAGTTTGAAATCAGGATCTGATAGAAGTGATTTTGTAAGTCTTTTGTAACTTTCTCAGAAAACCTTGAAGTTTACTGGCAAGGCAGGTACAGTGTCCACCAAAAGAGGAGAGAGATAAGGGGACAGAGGGAACAAAAACATATGACAAGGCAGGAAAGATAGATTCATTTAGATGGAGAGCTTAGCAGGAAAGACTGGAAATGACACAGGTTGAACATGCAGAGGTAAATCAAGGAGCCTAGAAATTAGGAGATTGACTGGAATTTTCTCCATATAGATTTTGAAATTGTCAAATTTATCTTAATGTATTTCTGAGAGGAAACTCAATGTGGATTCAACTGAAGCACATAACTCATGTCTGAAGTCCTTAGGCTTGAAGGCAACTTATAAATATACATCTATAACTGCAACAACGTGAAAATACAGAAAACTGAGCAAAAATTGAGGTCACAAAGATTTGTTCCATAGCTACACAGATGTTAACAGAGCCTGAAGTGATGACTGACACCCCAAGACCAACTTAAGCCCAGTTCACCGGGTCCAGTCAGGTGCTATTAGACAGGGCACAAATGTTTTCATTGACAAATGGAAATGGACTCTATCTTTTGAAAACGCTGGCTTGCAAAACACACAAGATGCTGCTCAGCCACCCCTCAGCAGAATTCAACCAGAGCTGTTTAAACACTACTTAGAGCAGGCTGAGCCAATACAAATATAAATTGTGATTAGCAATCAAGTACCTGGTCTAAGCACAACAACAGAAAAACTGACCTGTTCAGTATTTCATCACTCCAGACATTTTGAAAATTTGCTTCCAGAACTGCAGTTTACCTTAATTCTCACTCCCATTCCTTGTCTCACTTACATCCAGCAAGGAAGGGGGCAACAGTTTTAAAAAGTTAGAGGAAGAGAATGCAGAGAATTTAAAGAGTGTTTTGTGCTCAGGCTGATTGACAGACATTGCTCCATTCAGAAGCACCTTAACGATTACTGTCCATGAAACGGATCCATTAAGCAGCTCTCCCTGCCCTATTTGCCTACTAAGTTGGTTTCATGACTATTCTGAGAAGGAAACAGCACAGTGCAGAACTCATTTGGATTGGTGCCCTCAAGTATATGCAACTCGAAATCTTAGGCATATGAGGTACAGTAAGGCAAAAGGGAAAGGAGGCCAAATTTCAGGGGGTGAATGATAACTGTAGGCCAGATTAGAGCAGCAGTACCAGGTAAGAGCTGGATTGCTCACTGCTGCATCACAAAGCCCAAATTCAGCATTACCTCCATGAGGATCCTTGCTGACTTGCATACCCAGTGCAAACCTTCCAGTGAATTCTAATCTGCCTCTTTCTTGTATTTTCCAGCCAAAACCCTTTTAGAAGCTTGGCTTTCTGTGCTCCCAACATTGAAAAGCACTGCCAGGAATTCTCTTATCACCAGCCCTGTCAAGTGCTACATTTCACTCAAGCCTACATAACAAAATAAAACTGGGTAGGGGAGGAAGGGATTCAAGTGTAAAATGCAGTCAGGCCAAGGAACCAACTGGCATAAAACAGGGACTCCATCCTCCATAAGATAAACCTTATAATTTGTGCATTAATTATAGCTCATTTACCTTCCTTATCCTATATTTCCTCCTCCCAACTGGATTTTGAAGCAAAGGCCTGAGCCTTTATACAAACAAGCTAATGGATTCTAATGGCTCACTCTGATGCAGTGTTGTTTAATCACAGCAGCACTTCGTTCTCCCTGCTGTATTCAGGGAAGAAAAAAGAACAAAGACTGCATCCAAACACATCTTATTTCAGTTTTCAAATTCCATTCTTTCCATTGTAGTCAAATTTTTCATGCCTTCATCTTAGTAGACTCCCTTTAAGAAAACATACAACAGAAATTTAAGTATTTAACAGCATTTAAGAAAGATACAGTAGAATACAGCAGATACAGGTTGTTGCAAATACTTTTTAAAGACTTTTCATCTATGTCCCAACTGTCCCCAAATCCCATTCCCATTGTGCTTTTGGATACATTCTGTTCATCTCTTTTATTTATTTCCCTTACTCTTCACTCCACACACTCAATTATTTGCCAAGACAATTCTTTCTCTGTGGGAGTGGACCAGGCACAGCCAGCAGTGCTTCTCCACACTTGGAGTAAACAAAAGATATATCAGACTTCTCTCCCAGCACCTTTTATCTATTTGGCCCTCCAGCTCAGCCTTGTCCTCTGCCCTTTCTCCTATCCCTTCAGAAGGTGGGGAAATGCTTTCTCACAGCATTTCTCCTCCCCAAGTGCCACTCAGCCTGTTTTTCCCTTATCATCAAATGTGTCCCACACAAGAGGCCTGTTTTTTATCTCATGGTTGCAGGGAAGCATATAAATTAAATAATTAATGCCGGCAATCACACCCGTTTCACTTAACACCACATGTGCTCTCCACCCTATCTTACTCACACAATTTAATTCTTGGGCTTTCTTCCTGTCCCTCTTTTGGCTGCAAACCTCCTGTTTGTGTTTGATCCTCCCATGGACCTCAGCAGTTTGTTCAGTGCTCACTTATCTCTGCCTCTCTTTCCCCTCCATGTCTCCCCTCACCCTCTTTCATCTCTACCTCACCTTTCACCCACTTCCTTCTTCTACCCCTCCAAGACTCTTAACACTACATCTCTCCTTGCATCTCTCACCATGAGCATAACTTTCTTTCACTTGGCCCAAATCTTGAGGAAAATCCCATGAATATTTAAAGCAACAGGGTAGGAAGTAATTCATGTAAAACCTGCAGCTCTTTCAGAAAGGTGTCACTTCCCATGAGAAATGACAAAGCACAAGGGTCAAACTTCACAGCACAACACCAGAGCACAGCCTTTTATTCATGCTGAGGTCAACATGATCATCTACAGAACAAAGAGGTGGAAGACCAGAACACCTCACCTCTCCCTTAACAAATAAAGCACAACATTTGTTCCAGGTAAACGAAGGAAAAAGAAAGCAGATGAAAAATCAAAAAAGAGGTGTTGCTGCCAAGTTGTTTCAATCTAAAATTCAAGTGCCAGCCATTCAATCCACTCCTTGACTCCTTTCAATTGCACTAGCAATGGTGTTGTGCAATTATTTTTCTACATACTGTTTGTCCCAAGGCACTTAATGTCCCCCTTACTTTCACCAGAGTTGTCCATCTATTACAGCATCTAATAAATACAGATACAATTGTGACATTTTCTTGATAGTCTGCTACATGGGCTTAGAGAAATCTGTCAAATAAAACCTTTTGTTTCTGAACTTCTGAAATGTAGAGGGCAAATGCTCTGCAAGTCAACATGAGGCATTACCAGAAATATTTAAATCACAATTTATTTTTCAAATTCAAAAATAACAATTAGCTTTATTTACCACGTTACACATCTCAGATTTAAAATATCATGCTCTATTTAAATATCCGAGTGACAACACTATACAAACAAAATGTTACACAAAATATATTTAAGAAAATGTTTTGGTCTTCAATCTGAACAATAAATAGACAGGCACTTCTACATATACAAAGAAAGCAACCACTATTTAGAGTAATTCTTATAAGTAAGATGTGGGAATAGAGAAGATCTGCGTTTCAAGGACACATGTAACTCTACATGAGGCTTCATGCAAACTTCAAAGTTTGGTTTGGAATTTGAAGGTCAGGATCTGCATAATTCTAGATTTGCCACCGCATCACAGGAGACCCAAACCACGCTTTCATGAAGCAATGTGCAATTTCAGTCATTTCCATCAAATCAAACTACCTGATCACATTTAGTGCCCGAAAAGAAAGCAAGGATTGACCAGAGTAGCTTTCTACACAAATAACATGAGCAACAAGTCAGCTTCAGTACATAGGCCCGAGGCAGGGGCAGCCCTACCTGCTCAGCCCCAAAAAAAGCCCTAATCTTTTTCCTTACACATTGAGCTCTTAGAGGGCATTTCTAGCAGAATTACCTTTTTTGTTAAAAAAAAAAAAAAAAAAAAAAAAAGGCAGCTTCATCTAATAGAAGGGTAAATCCTTAAATCCTTCAGACACAGGTACACTTTGCACAAAGGATAATAAGTAAAGGAAAAATATACTGTTCCAGGGTGCAAAAGGACTGAAAACTATGAATTAAAAATTCAAAAGTCTCCTAAGCATATCATGTCCAAAAAGAAAACTACATTCCCCCAATTTGTGTATTTTCAATTTACAGTGGTTTCCACACACAAACACTACTCAAGGGAAAATGATCTTCCACCATCACAATTGATGAAAGACGCAATGTTGTAAGCAATCCCTGTTTCCAGTACAGCTAATCAGTCACTGACAGCTAGTTATAGCCTCAAAGTCTTTTCTAAAATTAAGACAAATATTGAAACATAACGACCACCAGGACAGTGGAAAAGTCAGGACCAAGCCTTCAAGCCATCCTTTCAAATTTTAGTATTACTCTCATTTTCAGAAGTACAGGAAAAAGTTTACAGCAAAAATTCAACTATTAAACAGAGCTTCAATGATCCAAACTTGCAAAGTTTTTTTGGGCTTAAGACACTTATGCACATTACTTTAACAATTTAAGTGTGGATCTTGCAAGCGTGTCCAAATCCTAATCATTTCTTGAGGTTTTCTACTATGCACTAACATTAAGTTTGTGTAGGAACAGATGTTATTTCTGTATTTCTCTTCAATATCAAATGTTTTGAAGCCTTTGTGTTTTTCTGGAGCAAGCCCAAGCTTCTGAAGGCACATTCCAGTATAAACATCATCAATAGGGTAGAGGAGTACCTGGTCAGATGCATTATTCAGTCTTAGTGCCAGATCACCAGAGTACAGGAACCCGCCACCTCCTGCGTACGGGGGATATGAACCTTCATAGACACTTTCTGGGATGTAGTACTTCAATTTTTTCTCTCTGTGAGGTCCAGCATCTTTGATCACGTCACCTATAAATAAGTCTTTGGCTTTTTCCTTTGATAAACTCTTCAAGTAATCCAGGATCTGATTGGTATTCACAAAAACATCATCATCACCCTTAAAAATAAACTGGACATTTGCGCAGCTGCTGCTGACCCACTTCAGAAACAGCACCTCTTTCAGAGTCAGATTGAAGAAAGTGTCTCTGTAGCTCCAGAGGAGTATATCTTGGTGGGTGTCACTCTCAAATTTAATCATGTGTGAAAGGTCAGGAAAATTATCCTCTGGTGGGGTCTGCCCAAGTAAGAAGACCCTTCTGACTATCACATCCCCTGATGTTATTTCCTTGCCCCAGGATTCCCTAATTGCTTGTCTTCTATCAAAATGGGGTATAAGTGACTTAATAGCCAGCAACAGGAAAGGTTTCTGTTCACACTTGTTTGGCTGATCCATTAGCAATGAGTAATTTCTACACCTTAAATAGAGGAGGAAGTCTTTGAATCTGTCTGGCAAGTCTGCAAAGTCACTAACCTCTGAGTGAACCAAGGGGTCAGGATCACAGGAATTGAGAGCACTCAGGTTAGAAATTAAGTTCTCTTCCACAGTCATATTGGAAAGCAAGGACAGAATAGGGTTGTACAGCAGCTCAAGCTTCTGTTGCTGTTTGTTCCAATAAGCTTTGTGAGGAGTGTATTTCCTCCAGAATTTGCTACGTGGTATAACAACACGGCCTTTTGCATTCTTGTCTTGGCTACCGCTCTTCGAGACTTCCACAATCACATAAATAAAAATGTTTACCATCATCAGAATTCCCAGCAGCTTTAATCTTCTGCGTCCAACACTCATTTCTCATATCTAGAAATAAATTTTTAAAAAAGATTTTTAGCTTTCTTCACAGCAAGTTCTTATCTCATTAAAAATGCAAACTGCTTTCAAATGTAAGTTAGCCTAAAAAGCAAGGTTACCTACACCCCTGAAGAAGCAAAAGCTAATCTGTCTCTAATACACACACATATGGTTTGGGGTTTCATCAGCAAGCTGGTATAAATGTGAAGCTTCCATTTGCAGCTTAGGAAAGTTACACAGCTTTTCATGGCGAGTCAAAATCAGCCAGCAGTTTTTTGCTTCTCATTTAAATCCCCTTTAAACACTGACTGTATAATAATTAGAATCGGAGCCCTCAGCTTGGCAACGGGCTGAGAAACCCTTTTTTTCTGCTAGTAAGGTGAGCTGAAAGGTATAGAATAAATTGCTATATGATAAGGTCAGTTATTTTTAAATTAGGTTTCAAGCTTTTATACTTGCACTCTTACACCTTCCAACTACATAATGGGCAGAGCCAAATTTTAAAGCACACAATCAGTTTCTGACAATTTCACTTAGCTGTTCCTTGGAAGAAAGGTTGACAAAACTTGCCAGCTGCATTTCTGATATTCAGACAGAAGGGAACATGAACTTGAAATTCCCCACCCCCCCCCGCCCCCAACTGGAAAAAAGGAATTCAAACAGTAAATGAAAATAGAAGGACAATTACTACCAGGAAGAAAAAAAACCCTAAAAATAAATTTTAAAAGGAGAGGTCTCCCATATATGCATATCTGGAACAGTATGTGTACATCTTTCTCATACCAGAAGTTCTGTATCCATCTTCAGTTTTTACTGGGGGAGAAAGTGGATCAATCCCTCTTTCGTCCACAGCTGTCAGAATGCAGGTACAAAGAATACAATACAAGGAGCAACATGAAAACAGTGTGTTCCTCTACAACAGTGCTTACCAAACTGTTTACCAGCCCTGGGGTACGTCAATGTACAAGCTCCACAAATAATTCAGAATTACTAAGAAGGCTACAAAGACTACGCTGAAGCCACATACAGAACTCACTGTCAAAGACACTTTCATGTGCCAGGAGTATAAATGACTATTGGAAGATCAGAAAAACCTAATGTAATAAAGAATTCGTACAAACTGTTGAAAGTCCAGATGTGAGCAGTCTCAGGCCCTGAGGTCACAGAGCAACAGCAGACAGGGAGGCAGACTAAGAAGTACACCTTTTACTTGATGCTGTTTTCTTTTTATCAGCCATCCCCTGACACCTGAGCTACACTCGCCCTTGGTCTCTCATGGTTTCATCAGTCTTACTTTGTCTTACTCCTCAACAAGTTAAACACTAAACTACTAAAAATTTAGGAAGAAAGAAGTAAGTAAATAATCAGTAATCTTTTTTTCTCTTATTGGACCCATAACCATTATTAAATCCCAAAAGGTGTGTGTGGGTGTTTCTCTGGAACTGAAATCCAAAGCCACTCCTAAAAAAAACAGCCTCTCAGAAAAACGCCTGTGCTTCCTCATGTACTATATGCACATTTATCTCTGCATATGCCCAGGCCAGATCTACTTTATTTTGTATTCTACTCTCAGTCACCGATGAAGTTTCTGTTCTAATTTTAAAGTAGTTTTCTTATATACCTCAAAGACAAAACCGCACTTGTGGTCAGTGCCATTGTTTAAGATAAACAGCTGAACTGCTAAAAACGCACTGAGGTTGGTCACACAGACTTCCAAGGAACTTTATCTTCCTTTTTCAACTGCCACTAAAAACAGATAAATACATTGGTTTTCTACATTTCCCTTTCACTAGACACAAAAAATACCGGAGAAGGAGCCATCCCCTTTCATGCTGTTCCACTGAGCTCAGCATGAATATCAGGGCTTATCTGCCCTGTCCTCTACAGCACTTCACACTAAGCAACAAATGATGTGGTATTTGACCTACAATCCCAGGACTCCAGGGACAACAGGGTGACCACTCCCTCCTAGGAACAGCCAACAAACACGGGATTTCAGCCAAAGTTTGATTTTTCAGGATATGCAGCACCACACAGCTCATCTGTCATAGCCCCCACCTTACCAAGCTGAGAGTATTCAACACCTCTAAGGCATCTGGATACTTGACCTGAGACTCCTCTGACACAGTGAGACACCATTTGCAAAGACTTTATTTCAAATACTTAACAAAATCCTTCAGTCCACTATGACTGCAATCCCTTGTGGTAAATGAGACAGGGATCCCTGAGCAGAAAAGTCCCCATTTACTGTTAGACCTGGTAGAGCTTTTCAGTAGAAAAAGTACAAGTCTGGCAAGATGACAGTGGTTCCATTTCACAAAGCACAGTAAATGGTCTCAACCACTGCAAGCAAGTACTGCCAGCCTCTACTCTGTTCCAGGCTGTGGATCCACAAACAGCTGAACCAATCTAATCATTTGTGCAGGCCCAAGGTAAAACACCCAACTTCTCCACCTCCTTCAAGACTGACAGAAGCCATGGCCTTTCACTGTAAATATTTTTCTGAGGGCAGGAGTTAGGCTGTATTTTCTAAGTGGGTTGAGGACCACATCTACATTGCCTGACTGCCAAACCCAAGCATTACAAGTCCATTTACTTAGTGAGGCTGACAAAAGATAAGCCCTGTTACCAGCAGGTATCACACCTACCACCTTACTGGTCCAGGACTAAACTATCAGGAATCTGGTAAAGCTAAGCTGTGATTTAGGTATCTAACAGACATAACCACCCTTCTGTCTTTGCAGAGACTGTAACTGGTGCTAGGGCAGGCTTGGATGTTCCCATGTAACTTCAAGTTAGGGCCTGATATCCCTTACAGCAGCTGTACATGCAGCACCACTTCTGACAGTACTAGCAACAGCACGTGCAGTAGTGACACGGCTGCTTCTGAAGTTAACTGTTTTAGCTGCTTAACACATCACAAGCCATATGGATTTCTTCTAACCTCCTGTGAGATGCATAAGTTGTCTTATTAGCTTGGCTCTGTTCAGTGAGTAAGAGATTTCTGAACTGAGCAACAGCACGGTTTTGGAACGAGATGATGTTGAGAGCCCTGGGCTGTTGTAACAAGTCTGTCCTATTTCCAGCTTTGAAGAACTTGAACGCTGTTTATTTTCTAACTGCACATTGTCGAACCTCTTTCCCCCCCCCCTCCTAATTTTACACAAATCCCCTTTCATACGACAGTAATTAAGAAGACCTTAAGAACAGGAGAATAATGAACAGATAGCCACGTTGCCCTTCTGCTGAAGCCCACCTCACACAGTGGTTAACACTGGAAACAGTCAATGTTTCCTGTGCTCTCCAAGACAGTCTGAAACAATGTTCCAGCTTCAGGAAAGTAACCACGATAACAACACGCTACTCAAAGCATCAAGAACTGCACGGAAATGCAGAGCAGATGATGTTTATTTTAACATTAGTTTTAATTATTCGCATATACCTGCTTTGAGACATCTTCCAGCATATTATTTAGCTTTGGGAGAAATTCTAATCTTCCGGTATTTTAATACCAAAGGGCACCAGTGAAACTCAGGCATGGAATTTCAAGATCTGAGTAAATATAGCAAGACTAGGGAAGGATGTGCATATATTTTCCTAAAACACAGCCCAAGGCATAAAGAATTATAAAAAGTTTTAATAAATGCCAAAATAATTTCACATTCTCTCTCCCAATTCTCCAAGTTATCTTCAGCAGATTTTTACTCAAAAAAAAAAAAAAAAATCTCAAAAGCAATACCAAAACCTCACCAAAGAAACCCTCATATCCAAGAAAACCAATGGTAGCAAGGCATTTGTCTAGTAATGCTCCCCTGGTTTTCTTTAATAAGGTTTTAGAGGGCCAGACCTGCACTTGAGCAATGTTTACTTATGTAATTGAGCCTAGTCTCACTTTATCCAACCATTTTTTGAGTGTCTCGAGATTTTCAACTTCTATGAATGATACAGATTCCTCAGTTTCTCCCTACACCAAGAACTTGGAACGATTCACTATTCTATTGCCACACAAGGAGAGGAACCCTTGGAAAACACAAATGGTAAATAAAAAATACATGACATTATTTTCTCTATATACGTTTGCCATACAAGCTGCATGATGAACTTTCATCTGTCAGCCCTCTCCCTTCTATCTAGTAATTTTTGATGAGACAATAACAAGACCAAAAAGAAATAATCTAGTACTTTAAAAATGTAGGAGATTTTTTTTAGAGTTATCAGTGGGGTTTGGTATGAGGTGTAAGCCTCCTACCAAAACACTCAGTTCAGCACAAAGATCATGAAGTCATCGTGCACCCCACACAAGGAATGGCTCTGGAGTGCAACAGCAAAGCAAGACTCCACTTGCAGGCTCTCTGACCTCACCCAGTCACAACCACAACCGAGCAGAGGAAACATGTTCCAGCAGGGTTCTTCTCCAGCACCAGCCACAAGTGACCACATTCCTGCACTGGGGCTCAGCGATCCGAGCCAGCCTCCATTAGGTGAGAACACTATCCTACAAACCTGCCAGCAGGTCATTGCTGGAGCCAGCAGCTGCAGTGCAGACAGCCCCTGCAACGACCTGTGGGATCTGTGAGCACTACCTTTAAATCTCTCATACTGCTACCACCTGCATGGCAGCAGGTTTTTCTTATCCAGTCTCGCTTCTCCAAGCAATCAGATAACTCACAGCATCTCAAGGCATTGCTCAGAGCAGTCATACTCCGGTGAAACTCCAGAAGTTAACTTGTCAAAAGTTGCTACAAACCGGTGGGGAAAATCCCCCCTGCATTCAAGTTTGTAAAAGCTTCGTAAGAACTCAAAACTCCCTCTCTCTAATATCTACTTCATTTGTGCCCCACACTACTGAATACTACTGATGTCAGTTTTCAACTGCGCTATTAAAAGACTAACTAGTTCTTTCATTTACTAATGAATGCTAAGTTCTGAGGAGCAGAATTCCAGAATCTTCAAAGTAAGTTTTACTGTTTTCTGTCACCATTTGGATTAATTTCAGGTCTCCCCCTAGC